ATATATATATATAAATATATATATTTATATATATATATATATATATATATATTTAAATCAGCAAATATATTATTTATAATTTTTTATTTATATTTTTTCTTAATATATTTTAATTTTTTTTTTATTTATATATTTATATTTTTTCTTTGTAATCGTTTTAAAAATTAAAAAATTTAATAATTTTTATAAATATAATAAATTAATTTCGTTTTTTTTATTTATTATTTTTCAATATTTATCTTTTAAATCAGTTTAAATATATATTTTTTAGTTTTTTATAGAATATTAATTTTTTTTATATAAAATTTTTAAATATTTATATTGTCTATATATTTTTTTAAAATTATTTTATAGTTTTAAATATAAATTTAAATTTAAAAATCATATAATTTATTTAAGTTTATAAAGTAAATAATATAATTAGATTTAAAATTTTATTAAAAAATATATTATATTTAAGAATAATTAAAATAGATTTTAATAATTTGAAGAACCAATTAGTTTTTAATATTTCAAACACAGTATAATTATTTTATTATTATATAAAAACTTAAATTCATAAATATATATTCATTATAAATTTTCTTTACTATTTAAATATTTATATTTTTTTAGAATTTTTATTGTTTTAATATTAATTAATAAAAATTTATATATTATTTATAATATTTTACTAAAAACAAAAAATATATATTTATAATTTATTAAAAAATAATAAGAATTATAAAAATATTTTTAAAAAATTATTTTCATTATTAATAAAAAAAATATTAAGATTATCTATATTATATATATTGATAAACATATTTTTTTTTTTTTTATAATATAAAGCGAAAAAAAAATATTTTTATAAAAAAATACAAAATTTAATCAAAACTTTTAATCTTAAACAAAAATAAAATGGATATAGAAAATACAGTTAATGGACTGACTTAATAAATGTAATCTTAAAAATAACCACATTAAAAAAAATAAAAAATTGCATCAACATTATAAGAACCTGTTTCTGAAACAATAGTATGAAAATAAGCATATTAAAAAATAAAATAAAAAAGATAAGAGATTTAAGAATGATAGGATATAAATTAAAATATGTATTATTTCCTAAAATGAGGGAAGAAGAAAAGCAAAATAAAAGTTTAAGAAATTGTAAAAATAAAAAAAAAAGAACTATTATTTTATTTTATACAAATTTATATTTTTATTAAAAAAGGGGATTTATGGGGTCCGTTGCTTTTATGTTTAAGTTTAGCAATGTATAAATATATAATTGAAATACAAAAAATATATGTAATTAAAAAAAGGACTTTAAGTATTGCATCATCATAATAAGCCGAAAAAGTATTTGCAATAATATTTATTTTAATATGGTCAGGAGCTGTAGTAATAACTTTAAATGCTAAATTACTAGGCGGAAAAATGTAAAAAATATATAAATAAAATATTATATATGTTAGTTATATTTTAATAAAAACAGATCTTTCTTTTAATCTGTATGTGTATTAGGTTATTGCATTTTCCCAATAAATATAGCCTCATTTATTAATTTATTTATTCCAGAAACTAAAGATATATTTATTTTGATTAAAGCTGGCATTTGTTTTATGAGTTTTATTTGGTCTACTAAAGGTAATTAAATATATTTTTTATTTTTAATTAAAAATAGCATCTGTACCTTTCATGAATACTCTTGTAAGTGAATAAAAGAAATTATTAGCAGTTTATCCTGTTTTTTATTTTATTTATTTTTAAGTTGGTTTGCTTTAGTTGCTTGATTTTATTAATAAATTTAATAATATTTTTAATTTTTATTTTTTTTCCCCAATATTAAACTATTACTTAAATTAAAATAAATAATTATTTAAAAATATATTAATTTTTTTGTTAAAGTATTATAAATCTTTTTCTAAAATATTCTTTATATTTTAAAAAATAATATAAAAAATACTTAATTTCAATAAGAATATTTAAAGTTTTGTATTTATATATAGCTCTATTATTATTAAATTAATTTAATTAGATATTATTTTATGTTTAAAGTATTTAAGATATATTTATATTTCCAATTTACAATTAAAACTATTTTTTTTACAAAATAATCAAACTTCCCAATTTAAAAAAATAAACAATTTATTTTAAAAAATATAAATAATTTTTTTTAAAACAAAAAATTTTATTCCAAGGAGAACACAATATGAAAAAAATTATTAAAATTAAATATATAAAGTAAAGAAATATCTCCCAATATTATATTTTAAACTATAAAAATTAATAATTTTAGCAAAAAAATTAGATTAAATATAACACAATTTTTAAGATATGAACTTAAAGAAAATTTCGATAAACAATTAAAAACTAAAAGAATACATCATGATAGAGTAATTATAAAAGAACTATTTTTATCAAAATATATAAAAGTATAATAGTAAAAGAAAATGAATAAAGTCAAGAAATTTAACTTTATTTAAAAATTATCAATTTTTATTTTATTTTATATATTCATATAACATAAAAATCCTTTCTAAAAAAAATGGTTTAAAAAAAGCTATCATATACTAAAAAATTTTTCTAAGAAAAATAAAAGAGGAAATACTTCTTATAAACTGTAACAAATAAATTTTATTTATATAAATAAAGAACAAAAATGTATTTTTTTTTTAAGTTTTCATCTATATCCTTTCGAATTTAACAATTTTAATGACTTTTGAAAAAAAAAAAGTACTTTTTTGTTACATCTACTCAAAAATAGAATAAGTCTTATTAATACTAATGACTGTATATAAAGTTTTTATCCAAGCCTTTTATTAAGTTTCTTTTTAATGCTTTTTAAATAATTAATATAGAATTGATAAAATATAAATGAACTATCAATTTTATAAAGGTTCCTTCTTTATCAAAAATACTTTTTAATTATTAAAAAAAAAAATTATTCTAAATAAAATTTAACAAATATTTTTAAGAATATTATTCTATATTTTTGTTATATTTAAAGAATGATTATTCGTTGTAAATGGCTAATTATTTTTTAATATTATTAAAGATTTTTAATTACTTTTTAATTAAAATTTTAGAATATAAATAGCAATAATTAAGTTATTAAAAAAATAATAATAAATAACATTATTTAATTTTTATATTAAAAATATTTTAAGAAAGTTTTAAAAAAATATATTAATATATGTATTTATTAATAATATTTATTAACTTCTATAGTTTTTTTTTTTTTTTTTTTTTTTTTTACAAATAAAAATTTAAAAAGAAACTTTTTTTATTTTTCATTTCATTAATAATGATTAATTTATTTTTTAAAAATAATTTTGTTATTTACTTAAGAATTAATATTAATAATAAGTCTTTTGTTATTAACTGACTTATTTTTTCAATTAAGATATTATTTAAAGGCAAAATTATTATTTGCTATATTTACATTTCTATTACCTTCCCCTTCTTATTTTTATTATTCTTTACTTAAACTCGAGTATCTTTTCTTTAGTATATCTTTACTTTTTTAGGCCCCTTCGAACATTTAATCCAAATCTTTTATTGTTAATAAATTTTTATTGATTTATTTTTATTCCAAAGCCTAAATTATTAATTATTTATCCTATGTAAGTTGTTAATTATTATGTGAATTCGGTCTAGTCTTCAAATTTATTGCAAACTATTTAAATATTTTCGGCATTATTGTTTTCTTTTATATATTAAAAATTTGTGAAGGTTTCGGAGGCTTTTATATATTTATTAAATTTAGTTATTTTATAGAATTATTAAGATTTTATTATATTATATTTTCTTTCTCAAAATAATTAAAATGAGGTGTTTTTACTCTAGAACTTGATAAATCAAATGATTGTTTTAAATTTTAATTGCTTTTTTTCATATTATTTTAAAAAAAGTCTTTAGGAAATGCGTTTATGTTATTTTTTATCATTATTTTTCTTTTTTAACTATATTTTTTACATACATTTTTTTTTATTGTATTATTTTTTTTACATACACAAATAAGTCATTATTACATCTAAATGTGTATTATAATTAATCTAAATTTGGTTATATTGATTAATGTTTTTTTGCATTCATTTTTATTTATTTTATTTTTTTAAAAAATAAAATTATTTTTGGTTTTTAAAATTTTCCTACTTTCAATTAATATATATTTTTTTTTAAAAAAAAAAAAGTTATTATTAATTAATTTATTTAAAAATAATAAAAATTAAAAAAATACGTTTAAAAAGTAAAAATAAATTAAAAATAATAAATTAAAAATAAAATATTAGATATTTCAATCAAATAATAAAAAAAAAAATCTGATCTAAAAAAAAAAAAAAAAATCATAGAAAAAAAATAAAAACAATTTTTTTTAAAAAAAAAACAAATAATATGTCAAGAAGATACGACTAAAAAACCACCACATTCAATAAAGAAGGAAAATTACTCCAAGTTCAATATGCAATAGAAGCTATAAATAAGACCGGTAGTGCCATCGGAATTTTGACCAAAGAAGGTATTGCCTTAGCAACCGAAAAGCTTGATGTAAGCTTTTTACTTGAAGCTTCTAAAACGTCCGAAAAGATATTTGCAGTTGACAATCATTTATATGCAGTAGTAAATGGATTAACAGCTGATGCTAATTACTTAATAGACACCGCCCGTGTCGAAGCCTAGAGGTACAAATACGCCTACGGAGGTGAAAATATGCCTATAGAATAATTAATAGTCCGTGTATGTGATATTAAATAATCTTATACATAAATAGGAGGTTTAAGACCTTTTGGTGCAGCATTCCTATTCGCTGGTTACGATAGACATTTCGGCTATTAATTATACTCTACAGATCCTTCAGGAAACTATGCAGGATGGAAAGCTACAGCTATTGGACAAAATAATTCCGCGGCAAACGTATTCCTTAAATCTGAGTATAAAGAAACACTCAGCCTTAAAGAAGGAACAAATCTTGCTTTAAAAGCACTAGTAAAAACTATGGATACAGCCTCGCCTTCTGCTAAAAAAATAGAAGTCGTAGTTATTTCAATGAATGAAAGAAGTAAATAAGTAAAAGGAAAAAGCTATTCAGAAGGGGAAATTGAATAATTATTAAAGGATAATGGATTCAATGTTGAAAAAATGTAGGTTGAATGATATGTCTTTTTTTTTAAATAAAAAAATTATATATATATTTATTTATTTTATAATTTTTTTATTTTAAAATTATTAAAATATTATATGCTTTTATTTATAATATTTCTTAGATAATATAATATTTATATATATTTTTTAAAAGAATAATATATATATATATATATATATATATATATATATTTATATTATAAATATATAATAATTTCATCATTATTATAGCATTTTTTCTAAATTTTTTAACTACTACTTATGTTAGCTATTAATATTTATAAATAAAATAAATTTATATATTTAATATTATACTCCATAAGTTATTGAATTTAAAGTTAACTTTTTGCTCTTTATTAAGAAAGATTTTTTTCTATTTTTTATTTTTCTTTTGTATTTTTGATATCATTTAAAGTTTGTTCGCGTTTATATTCATTTATTTATTCCTATTCTAGTATTCTTAACATTTCTACATTTTGCTTCTATTTAGTTTCTTCAATTAATTTAATTAACTCTTTTTAATCTAAATTAATTTTCTTGTTTTCATTATTAACATTAACTTTATACAATAAAAACAAATATAATATTTAAATAATTTTATAAATTTTGTTTACTTTTTTTAACTTTAACTATTGTTTTTTCTTATTATATATTGTTTTATTATTTTTCTATAGATTATTATTTTAATTGATCATCAGATAATAAAGTATTACTTTAATTATTTCTATAACTTTTATTATCTAAAAAAAAAAATTAAAAATATGTAAATATATATATATATATATAAATAACTTCTTTTTAATGAAGCGGATAGAATTTTCTTTTTTTATTATTTATTAGTTGTTTATTCTTCTTAAGTAACTGAAAAGTTTGTATTTTTAAATTAAGAAAGTACTTCATTAGGTTCAATTTTTCCATATTTAACTTTTTCCATTTATTATTAAATATATTACTTTTATTAAATAATTTATTATCTCATTATTTTTCTTTATTCTAAAAGGTCATCTTTTTATTTTTACATAATTTCAGCCCTTTACATTTTATCTTATATTGATTATAATAATTTATCTTTTTCCCAATTTTATTTCCTCTACATTCTTTTAACTGTTTCTTTTCTTTCGATTCGAATAATGTTAAAATAATTTGCTTTGTCTAATAATTCTTCTTTTAATTTTTCTTAAATTTTATAAACATTATTCTCTTTCTCTTAAAATTTATTGACATATAGCTATGTTTTTTCTATTAGTAACTTTTCGTTATTTTCTTATACCATTTTTCGCTGTTTTTCGTTTTCTAAATCTCTAAGTTTCTATATTCTGAATTCTTCTTCTTATTCTTTTTGGAGAATTTTTCTTCTTTGTTCTACTTCTTCTAATCTTCTAATATAATTAAGTTTTTTTTATTCTTCTATTTCTTATGTATTCTTTAAAACCTAAGAAATTAGTAATTTATGCATTTCTGCCTATTTTTAATTTTATAAAATTCTATGCTCTTTTTCTTTTTCGAATTATATTTTTTTCCTTTCATTTACCAATTATTTCTATTAAAATTCTTCTTTTATTCTCTATATATCTTATTCGTTTTTTTATTTTACAAAAAGAAGTTTTTCTTCTTATTATTTCCTTTTTAATTCAGATTCTATAGCTTTTTATTATTATTTTTCTTCTAAAATCTATTTTTATATTTTATAAATATTTTTATTATGATAAATTTGAATGATTTTTGTTTATTTTATAAATAAAAATTACTTATGCTCTAATTTAATTGCTTTTTTCCATTTCTTCCTTTTTTTTGAGTATAATTTCTTCTTATTATTTTAATTTTTCTTATGTAGATTTTTTAAACTATTCTTATTTAATTTTTCTTTATTCTTCTTTTTAAAGAAGTATCATTAAATGCTCTTATTTTCGTTATTCTTCTTATTTTTATCTTTCATTTTCCCTTTATTCATTTTCAATTTCTTTTTATTTTAAAAGCTCTAGTTCTTTTTAAGTTCTTAATTATTTTTCTAATTCCATTTTATGACGAACTTCTTCTTACTAATTTTTTTTTTTTTATTTTTTATTTTTTTATTTTTACTTTTTTTTTCTTTTCTTAAATTTCTTAAAGTCTTTATTACTCTTTTAGTTTTTCAAGTTATATTTTTTCTTCATTTTATTTTTTTATTTATTAAATTTTTATTTCTTAATCCATCATTTGTTCAATTTCTTTTTACTTATTTTTTTTTTTTTTAAATAAAAATAAAAACTATATTATTTACTTATCTGAATTTTATTTTTTCTAATTATCTTTTTTCCATTTCAATCATTGAAGAATTCTCACCTTTTGTCAAACTTCCGAATTAACTTCCTCCTTAAGTAGAATACTAAAAAAAACAAAAATAAATACATTATGCTAAAATAATACTTTTGCATGTCCATTTGAATCAAATACACATATTCCCTTATTTTATTCTTCTATTATTAATAGTCGTTCTTCTTTGGCTTTTTAAACTAATTATTTTCTTTTTTTTTCATAATTTTACAGCTTTATTTCAAGATGCTTTTTATCTGTAATTTTATCGGGATATATAATCTTCATATCATCTAATGATTTTACTATTAATTCATCTGGAACTATTCCTTATCGACGACAAGCTTCTATTGAACGTGGACTGTTTATAATTGGTAATTTATTTGAGTTTTCATTGAAATTTTCAAGATTTATAATTCCTTCCTATTTTATATATATATATTTTTTCTTTCTCTTACATTTTTTTATATTACATACGTTGTTATTTTATTTCATTTATTTTGTTTAACTTTTTTATTTTCTTTAAGTTTCTATTTTAAAATAATATATAACTTATTATTTTATTTTTTTTATTGTTTAATATTATTAATAGATTGTTTTTTATTTTAAAATTTCTTTTTAGAATTAAGATTTTTTATTAATTTAATTTATTTTATTTTTTTTATAAAAAAAATAAAATAAAATGAAGGAAAATTAAAATAAAATAAATAAAATAAAAGTAAGTAGATAAAGTTTAAATGTAAAAAATAAAAAAATAAATATATTTATATATATTAATGAATAAGTTACTTAAATTAAATAAAAAAATATAAATAAATAAGAATTATTTTTATTTATAAAAAAAATTATTTATATTTATTAAAAAAAAAAATATATATAAGTAAATAATAATATTTATAATAAATATAAAAATTATAAATATTAAATATAAAAATTATTATATATAATATATATATATATATATATATATATATTTATATATATTTATATATTTATTTAATGTTATATTTTACTTTTTATTATTATAATTTATTTATACATTATTTTTAATAAAAACAAATAATATTATTTAAATAAAACATTATAAATAATCTTAATATATATACAAAAAATACTTTAAATTTCAAATTTATACTTTTAAAAGATAAACGAAAAAATTAATAATTAACACTTAATTAAAAGGCTATTTATTCAAAAAAACTTATTCTAACTTAATATTAATTATAATAAACACAATTATATATATTATTTTAATTCAATAATGAAAATATATATTTATATCCTTCCTGTAATAATTAAAAAATTTTATATACTATATAATATATTGCCAACAATAAATTTTTTTTTTTTTAGTAAGACTTCAAAACGAAATGTTTAGTATATAAAAAATAGAATTTTATATATAAGGACTTTGCAAATATATAAAAATCTATTATCTGATTTTAAACCCTAAAATATCGAAAATTAATTGTTTGTCAAAATAAAAATAAGAATAGATATATTTTAAAAAGAATGATGATCATTTTAAATTTGAAATATTTTATATTTTATAATAAAAAAATATGTATTTTTGCACAAATAAAACATTAAAAATTCATTTTAAATATTCTTCCCCAAAATCCCTTTAAGTACTATCTATTCTAAAGAAGAAATTTTATTTAAATTTAATCTCTTTTTTTTAACTTTTATTTTAAATTTCCTATTTATCTTTAATGAAGCTACTTTTCATTTATCCGATACTATTTTCAATATACTACCTAACAATTTATTTCTAACTAAAAATTTCCTTCATACAAACATTATTTTAAGAGTATTTTTTTTTCTTTTCGGATATTATTTCCTTTTTTTTTTATTCAATTTTAATTTCGTTTGTTTTTTTTTAATTTTCTAAATTAATTGATAAAGGCCTAAATTTATAATCTGGAGATTCTTCACAGTCTTTAATTCTTTTTTAAATAGTGAAATACAAACAGAATGGATTATATTATTTTTCGTAGTTTTTTTCGGTAAAAAAAATAAAACTTTTAAAATTCTTGTCTTTATCTTCTTAAAATTTATCTAATAAAGTACTTTTTAATATAATTATTAATTTAATTTTGTAATGTTTATAATTTTTAATTTATTTTAAATTTATTTTTTACATTATTTCCCTTTTATCGTGGTTTTTCTAAAGCATTTTCTCTATATATTACACTAATTCCCTTGAATATACACTACTTAAGCTTTTTATATTTTTATTAATTATATTATAAGACAATATATTTTTGTTTTTTCCTTAAAAAGGCATTTAAAATTCGCAAATATAATATAAAAGAATCCCACAAGCCCATATATCTACCTTAAAATAAATATAATTTATTATATATATAATAAAAATGTGACTTTATTATTCAATATCCCTTACTATTTTAATATTTCAGGCGCCCAATATTATTAAGAGCCTATTTATTCACCTTTAATTGCCGAATAAGCTTATGAGAATTTTGAAAGACAAAAATCTCCAATTTTCAATTAATTTTAAGAACTTATAAAAACATTCGAAGACTTGATGTTTTTATGAATGATATTTTTTGAATGCAAATAGGAAATTCCTTATTAAATATTTTTCGCAAAAATTTTAATTTGGTTTTCACAAAAAGACTTCTTTTAATTATTCATTTCTTAAACTTTTTTTTCTATATCCCCATTTTCCATATATTCCATTATTATATTTAATGCATTTGTTTCTAAAAATACTGCAAAATGCTTTATTATATTATCGTTTTCTAAAAAGATTATTTATTAGGTTTCTTTCATTGATTCTTCTATTTGTTTTTGGGATAAATTTTTTATGTTTATTTTCTTTATAGCATATATCTTTTTAGTTTCATTATGAGTTGCATTATATACTGTGCTAAATTCGCCTTTTCCTATTTCAAAGTTTATAGTAAAATTTTAGAGAGTATATTACATATAATTATTATTATATTAATTTTGTTTGTGGTATATATTTTAAGGTTTTTTTTTTTATTTATAACTATTTTGATGTTTTTTTTTCAATTAATATTTATTAATATTAAAAAATGATATAAATTTAAGGTTTTATATGATATGTTTAATATATGTTAGATTAAAATTAATTTTTTATAAAAAATTTATCGAAATTTAAATATAGGATTAAAATTTTATATATTTATATAATTAATATAACAAATATAAATTTTTGTTATGTTTTTTAATTATAAAAATTTAAAAATATTATATTTCTTTTATATATAGGAAAATAAAATATTAAATATTAATATATTAAAATATAAAAAAAATAAAAAAAATATAAATACATATATATATATAATTATATAAATATAAATATCTATATATTTGTGTTATTTTATTATATTTTATTTTGTAAAAACATTTATATTCAATATATATAATTTTTAAGTCTTAATATTTTATAAAATCTTTTAAAAGAAATTTTAACATTTACTGTTTTACTATTTATAAAGAATTTATGTTTATTAAAATATTAAATATTTTAAACTTAAAAATTTTCATATTTTGCATAATAATATTTTTTATTTTTTTAAAAATAAGAATCATACAAGTAAAATTTTTTTTTTTATTCTTTTTTCTAATTTAATATAGTTATTTTAAAAATAATTAATTTTTTTTTTATTTTTTATATTGACATTTTTATTAATATTTTAAGTGTCATTTAGTTATATAAATTTATATCTTTGAATTTGTAAAAATATTTTTCTTATATATATAAATATATATATATATATATATATATATATATATATATATTTCAATATTTTAATACCAAAAATATTTTTATTTAAATAAAATATAAAAAATTATTTATTAATTATATAATAAAAATATATATTTAAATATTAATAATTTATTATTTTCGATATATTTTTTAAATATATTAAAAAAAAAATATAAAATATAGTATTTATTTTATTTATCTAAAAGATATATAAATATTTATTATATTTAAATATAATTTTAAAATAAATATTTTTTAATTAAAATAAATAAATTCAATATGTTAATTAATTAAATTTAAAATTAAAAATAAATATATATTTCTAAGTTAAAAATTAATACAGAAATATATAAACTAAATAATAAAATAAATAAAAAAAAAATTTAAATAAAATATTAAAAAAAATATCAAATATTAAAAATAAATTAAAAAATCATATTATCTTTAAAAAAAAAAAATATATATATATATGTTCTTATATATTTCATATACTTTTTTTAAAAAAAAATTAAAAAATGCATATATATATATACTACATATCATCATTCAATCCTTATATAAAACTTAAATTAAAAAGCATAAAACTATTTGCCAAACAAATTGTATATTATGGATTAATTCTTATATTAATTTTTTTGTTTAAATTTATATATCCTATATAGTCTATATAGGAGTATATATTTTATTTTTTAATTTAAATGAAAAGTTCATTATCTTATAAGCTTTTTGTAATTCTTTTCTATTTTTTTTTTTTTTTTTTTTTTTTGAAGATATAAAATATATATATTTTTTAAAAATAAAATCTTTAATATTAAGTTTTTATAAAAAATAATTTATATATAAATTATATTAATTTAATCATATATAAATGGACGAAAATAATAAAGAATTTGAGGAAAAGAAGTTATCGAAGAAGAATAGTAATAGGAAATTCAAGAAAAGATGAAGATATTCATGAAGAAATCCAATAAAATTCCGAATAAGAAGAAAAGGGTTAAAATTTTATATTTAAAAAATTAAAAATCATTTAAAATAAATAAAAAATTAGATGAATTTGCAGGAATAATAAATGAATGCAATGTAAATTTATATATATAATAATTATAATATATATATATATTAGGAAAATATATAAAAACTTGAAGAAATTTTAGTTTAAAAAGAAGATTAATACTAATAATATAGTAATGAATTAAATAATATATAAGAAGAAATTTGGAGTCATTTAAAAGAAGAATATGAATAAAATTAAATAAAAACAGATATTTAAATAAAGAAGGAAATCGAAGACTTATAAAAGAAATTAAACGAAAAAGAAGAAAGAATAGAAATTTTGGAAAAGGAAATAAAAGATAAAAATGTGGAAGGAGAATTAATTAAAATGCGATCAAAATTTAAAGAAATATAACAACATAAAGAAATTTTAATTAGAAGATAATATAAAAATTCAATGTCAGGTGAAACAGAAATTTATGCAGCTTTAAGAGTTTAAGCAGAAGAACTTAAACATTGAATTAGATTTAAAAAAAAATATAAAAGATAAATTAGAAGAGGAATTAAAAAAATCAGAAGAAGCAATCAAAGAATTAAGAAAATTTAAAAGAGTAAATCATATATAAAATTAATATAATAATTAAATATTAATAAAATATAAAAATGATTCAATAATATATATATATATAATATAATTTATATTTATATTACAAATATATTTTATATAAATTATAAAAAAATTATTAATTTTTATTTTTAATAATATTATTTTTATATATTTATAGGAAGGCGCTTCAAAAGAACATGAATTATAAGAATAAATTGAAAATTATAGATAAAAATGAGTTTTTTTTATATGTTTTAATTATTATTATATATATAATACTTTTATTTTTTCATGATTTTTAACAATTATCATCAACTATAATACTTTAATTTTAAGTTTTTTTATATCTTTTTTATTTAATTAATTATAAAAACTCTAAAAAATCAATATTTAAATAATATATATATATATATATATAAATATAAATATATTTTTATATATATATTTTTTTTTATATTTATATATTTATATATTTTTTATTTTATATTTTATACTTCTCCATCGCCATCTAAATCTGCTTCTTTTATTAATTATTCTACTTCTTAATCTCCTAATGGTATTATATTATTTTATAATAATTCTTGTATTTCTTATCTAGATATTTTTCCATCATTGTTCTAATCGATTTTTAGAAAAGCTTATGTTATTAATTAATCGTTTTGAAATTCTGGATTATTTATAAAACTAGCAATAAATTCTATTTATATATATTTTTTTAATTTTAATAATAAATACCTGTGTAATCTATTTATCCACTATTGTCAAAATCCATTGCTTAGAAAATTCTTTTAGCTTAATCATCATTTATTTCTATATTTAATTCTCTTTTAAATTATTATATTCCTAATAAAAGTTCTTCCTCAGATATCATACCATTTCCATTTGTATCAATTTTTAAAAATATCTAATTTATATATATTTATATTTTTATTATATATTTACTTTTTTCAAATTCTCGACATCTTTTTCTTATATTTAAGTCGCCATGTAAACAAGCAAAGTTTTTTTAATTTATTTTAAATTGCAAATCTTTTCTAAACCTTTAAAGGCACTTTAAGAAATTACTAAATTTGCCATTTCTCTACTTACTTCTTACTAGACCCATACATGATTATAAGATTCCATTGCACTAATTCTTTTTTTGGGATTTCTTACTAATAATTTCGTTAATAAGTCTTTTACTTCAAGACTACATTATTAAAACTCCTCTAAATTTAAGTTATATTAACATTTTCTTATTCTATAGAATATCTCTTAGTTAGTTTTTCCATAAAAAGGAGGACTTCCACTTAGTATTATGTACAATATTACACCTAAAGCCCAATTATCAACTTCTTCTCCGTATTAACCTTCTATTACTTCAGGGGCAATATAAAAAGGCTTTAAAAAAAGATAATAATAATGAATATATAAAAAAATATATAAAATTTAGATATGATACAGTTCCAGATTATTATTTTAAAATTTATCCTTTTTAAAAAATTTAAGAAAGTCCAAAATCTATCATTTTCATACTTTTTATATCGTTTTCATGTTTTAATATAAAATTTTCTGGTTTTAAATCTCTATACATAAATATATATATATATATTATGTATATTTATATAAATTTAATAATTTATACATTTACATATATACATAATATTTTTTTACCTATGTACAATATTATTTGCATGTATATATGAAACTGCTGAAAATAATTATCTCATAATTTATGCAGCTTCGTTTTCTGTAAGATGTCCTTTTTTGAAATATAATGAAATAAGTCTCCTCCTTTACAATATTCAGTTACTAAATATATTGTTGATTCACTTTCGTAAACTTCGAAAAGTTTTATTATATTCGGATGGTCAAGTTCTTTTAATATATTTATTTCGTCTTAAAATTGTTGCTTATTCGATAATTTATCTTTTGCAATTGCTTTTATAGCCCTTTCTTAATCTTTTCTTAGTATTTTTAATTATGCATCATATTTTTTTTAATTTACTGTTTATTCTATTATAAGCTAAAAAAACAATACCAAAACCTCCTTATCCTATTTCGCTTATAAATTTATAATTTTCTTTTATTTAGGCTTTTATTTTTAAAAAAATATTATTTTTATATTTTTAAATGATTAAAATTTTTAAATATAACTCTTATATTATTTTTACTTTATGAATGTCTGAAAAATAAATTTTTTGTAATTATTACAGTACAAGCTCTTTTTTTTTTTTTAAATTAATCTTATTGTTTTTCTTCTTTAGAATATTAATTATTTGAATTTTCCATTATTTAAAAAATATAAAAATTAAAATATTGTTTAATTATTTAATAAAAAGTAATTTAATTAATAATAAAAATAATAAAAATAAAAAATAATTATAAAATTATAGATAATATATAATTAATAAATACTTTAAGATAAAAAAAATTATTAGATATTGATAAAAAAGATTAAATTTAAAAATTTGCGTTATTTTAGTTTACCAAAATATTTAGTATAAAGGGGATAATTCTATATTTAAAAGAAAAAAAAGGAAAAAAAACTAGTAGAAATTAAAAATATTTTATTAAATAAATCTTAAAAATATGAAAATGGATAAAAAGTGTCTAAATTAAAAAATATTTAAGTATTCTGATAAAAAAGAAAAAAAAAGAAAACTCTATATTTAAATTTTAAAAGTTTACATAATATAGAAAAAACATATGTATTTAAAATAAAGAATAAAAAAAATTAAATAAAAAAAAAATATTAGACTGAATTTAAATTTATTATAACTACTCCAAAATAAAAAAAAAAAATTATATATTATTAGAATATATATAAGATATAACTATAAATATATAAAAATTGAAAATAAACAAAGATAGTATCTATTTATCTGTATACTAAATTATAGTTTAAAAAAATATATGATATTAATAATATTATCATTTAAAATATAAAAAATAATAAATTAATTTAATTTATAATAAATTAAATATTAAATAATTATTTTAATAATCTAATACTTAAAATATATTTTTGTATATAAATATAAAATAAAATATATATATATTTATAAAGGTAATAATAAAAATAAAAAAAAATATATATATTTATATAAAAATATATATATATATATTTATAATATTTATAAAATATTATTTATATATATATTTTTTATTATTTTATATATATTTTTTTTAGTATATATATATATATTTATTTTTATTTTAATTTATATCTATTTCATTTTAATATATATAAATGTTTTTTCAATTCGTCTTAAAATTATTATATTATTTTTATATATGAAAATCCTTTATATTATTATAATTATTCTTTTGATTTAGATGATAGATATTTATAATATATTTTATTTAATAAAATGATATATATTTTATATATTCATATATTAATTTATTTATAAATAAATTATATTTATCCTTAACGAAATCTTGTTTTCTTATAAATATAAATAAGCCTAATAATTTTTTAAAAAAACCTATAAGCATTATTTTTTATCTCATTAATATCAGATTAAAAATCAAAAAAATAGAAAATAAAATTTTTAAACATAATAATATTTTAAGTATTTAGATTTAACCAAAAATGTAAAAAATATTATCATATATAAATTTAATTTAATATATATTTTATATATAAATTTAAAATATTAATCATAAAATATTAAATAATGATGTTATTTTACTAGACTTATTATATGTGATATTTTTTATTTTTTAAATTAAAGAAAATAATAAGAATTTTTAATAAAAAATACATAAAAATAAATATATATATATATTTGTACATCTTTTAATTAAGATTTCGAAAAATTATTTTTTATTTAATTTTAAATATTAATTTTATTTATAATTCTTTTATTATTAATAAATAATAAAAATAAATAATATTTTCTTTCCTTTATATAATATATTTCAGTATAATTATTCTCCTTATAATAATCTAGCTGCTACAATAAAAGAAAAGACTGTATTTGTAATAATAGCTACATCACTCATTAATGCACCAATAAGTCTCAAAGGATGTGATGCACCTTTCGATGAAATATAAGATAAATAAAAGAGTCTTCCCAAAGCGTTTACAAAACACATAACAGCTGAAGTTATAGGAAAAGTTAATCCTCCAAGAAGTGTTGATACAATTGAGATTGTTAATATTTCAACAAATTAAAGATGAGTTCTATTTATATTATTTAAAAAAATATAAATATATATATATATATATATATATATATATTTATTTATATATACTTATTATATATTTAATTACCTTTAAGATTTATTGAAAATCAACCACGAATGATAATCTAATCTTTGAGAATAAAAGCCACTTCCCATATCTGGATATCCACCAGATTTTATTTAAGTATTGTATGTATCCTTTTTATTATTTTTAATAATATATATATTTTTTTTTGTTACTTAATGAAGTTATCCAAAATTAGCTTTCATAAAATCTTTATTAAATACTTTTCTACGATAACTTCCAACAACTAATAATCCAATTAAAAAACATAATAAAGCTAATACTAAAACAGATATTATTACTAATCCATACCATTAATTTAATATTAAGATTGATCCTACAAGTGATTTCATTTTTACTTTTTTTTTTTTTTTATAATTTTTTTATTTATATTATATTTATAATATAATAAATATAAAGAGGAAAAAAATAAATATATTTTTTATTTTTTTGTATATTTAAAAAATAAAACTGATATTTTTAAATTTTTATTTTAAAAAAAATATCAATATTTATTTTATAATATAAAATATATATGATACATCAAAATAAAAGTTTACAATTCAGTAAATCACAATAAAACTTACAATCAGGATAAAAATAATTTCGTAAACAAATCCGTTCATCATAGAGTACTATTCGTCCATTAAAAATATAAAAAAAACCGGGTATATACTTTTAAAATGAGTAAAACATAAATATTCGTTCAAAGAGTGGCTTCATATTCAGCGAAAGTAACCAAAAATTATATTCTCCCTTTGAATATTTGTTTTATGCGACTAAAGTTAATGGATGTAAAGAAAATTATTTAAATTCCTTATAATAGTTAGGGTATGGGGAGGTTAATTAATATTAAAATAAGCCTTTTGGGGAAATTATAAAAAGTTCTAATGAAATTATTAATAAATCTTACAGTTTAAAATATATGGGAATTATAAATGGAAATATAGGAATACTTTCGAATAGAAAAATAATGGAAAATAAAGAAGAAAACTAAATTTAAAAATAATAAAATTAAATTTTTTAACAAAAAAATTATTTAGTTGGAAAATATGCACTACCAAATGGTTTGAAAGGAATAAAAATTGAAAAAAAATAGATGAATAAAAGAAGAAAAATAAAATAGAAAATTTAAATAATTTACTATATGAATAGAAATAAATAAAAATGAAATAATACTAATATAAATAAGGAAAAAACGGAACTTAAATGAAAAAAAAATTACAAATTTTGAAGAAAATACAGAAGAAGGAGTTTGTTATGCTATAATTGCATAGTAAAATAATTATAAAATTATATCTTATTCAAAATTAATATAAGGATTAGAAGATAATTAAAATAATAATAATAATAATAATAATAATAATAATAATAATAATAATAATAATAACAATAATATAAATTATGTTTAAGATTAAGACTAATGTATTTAATATTAATAAAATACTGGTTTATTAAAAAGATATTATAAAATTTAATAGAAAATGTATAAATGAATGTAAATAAATATATTTAAAAATAATCTTTTTTTAATTAAATTAAATATAATAAAAATTACTTTTATATTTAATAAAAAAATATAACATATATATATATATATATATATATATATATATATATATTTTTAAATTTTAATATCTTTGATTTTTACAATATTTAAATATTTATATTAACATAATTTAAAAAAATAAAAAAAATATAAACTTATAATTATATATCATATTTATTTCATTTATATATTTTTTTTTTATCAATCTTTAGATTTAAAAAATTTAATTTTTAAATAAACTTTTTAAAATAATTATATATAATTTTATTTTTAAATTTTTTTTAATAATTGTATATATTAAATATAATTTTTTATATCAAATATAAATTATAATTATTATATTATTTATAAATTCATTACTTTATTATTTATAATACAATTCATAAATAATTTAAAATTTCATTTTTATATTTATTTTATTTTTTATAAAATTAATAAAATAATATTTATATATATAAATAAAATAAAAAATATTATAATGAATAATCCATTCAACAAATTAAATGCTAAATAAAATAATAATATATAAATTGATGTTCCAATGAGTACTTTTAATACTAACTCATCAAATTATGTAAATTAACTTGGAGATATTCCAAAATTAGATAATTATGTATAATATTTAAATAATAATCCTTAATAATAAAATATACCATTAATTAATTAATAAGAATAAATAGTTTAATAAAAAGAAAATAAATTTTAAGAAACTATACAGAAATTGTAAAAGTATATTAATTTTGAAAAAAATAGTACTGTTTGTAAAATGCTTACTTATATAAATATAGTTTTATTAGTTATTATTATTTTAATTATATGTATTTCTATATGAAAATAAATATAAAAAATTAAATTTCATTTATTTGTTTATTGTTTATTTTTTAAATAATTATACCATTATTAAACTAAGATAAGTGTTTATGAAAAAAAAAAAAATGTCAAAATTTTTTTAAATATAAATATAAAATATAAAATATATAATTATATATATATATATATATATATATTATCTTTTATTATATATATATTTTTTTTTATAATAATATTAATAATTATTTTTTATATAAAATATCTAAAATAAATAAATATATGTTTTTTAAAAAGTTTATTTTTAATTTTTGTTAAATAAATAATTAAATTATCTAAAATCGAATAGAAAATCTCCAGCAAACATTTTCTGAAAAAAATTTACTTGAAATTTTATTCTTGATAGATAAACCAATATTAAATTAAAATTAAAAAAGCATAAAAACTATTCAAATATCGTAAATAATAAAATAAAATTTACCCAAAATAACTGATACATATTTATTAAACTAAATTTCACGTAAATATATTTAAAACAAATGGGAATATACTCCAGAATTTGAAAAAATAATAATAGATTAAAATATAAAAAGGTTTTAAAACAATTATCTAGAACTTGATGAAGGTCATAACCTCTATTATTTTACAAGGATACTTCTTGAAAATAATATTTGGAATTCTTAAATAAAATATGAGCTTTTAGATGCTTATAAAATTTAATTTTTAAGAATAAATATAAGATTCGCAATAAATAGTTTAATAGTTTTTGTTAAATTTTCTTAAAATGAATTTTATTAAATATGTATTAATATTATTAAAGATTTGTATATATTTATTGGAATTAAAGAACTTTGTATTCTTTGTTAAAATTTTAAATAAATAAATGGCTTTGAATAAGAAATTTAATTTATATTATAAAAAGCTTAGGAAGAAATTCCTTTAAAAGTGACTAATACATATTCTACAACTAAAAAATATTAAATTTAACTTGTTATTTAATATATGAAAGAAAAACAAATTCTTCAATAAAATTTTTAATAACATTTAGAATTTATAATGAAAAAATTAGAAAATTAATCAAATAATTAATAAGATTTAGAATATTTAGAAGAATGATTTTTATTTTTTTTAAAAAAAGAAAATTACTTAATGCATAATAATTACATAATATTTATTCTAGTTATATAAAAAAAAATTATATTATTTTAAAAACATATATTTAATTATATATAGTAATCTAAAGAACTCAAATTGACAAAATTATTTATATATAAAAATATATAAAAATATATAAAAATATAAATATATATTTAAATATTTATATATGATTTTAATTATATTTGATAATTTTTTAAAATTTATTAATTTTATTAATAATTATTTTTCAAATATTTAAAATAATATTTGTGATAATATTAATTAAATAAATAGTTTCTGTTTTTAAAGTTATGAATTTATATAATTATAAATATATATAGAGTAAAATAATATTTTTTAGATATAATAATAAAAAAAAGAAATATACACTATATATTTATTTTTTAATCATTTTTTTTGATTACTAAAAGAATCTAAATATACCTTTGCTAATTTTGCTTTTCTTTTAACTTTTTTAACCATTAATTTTCTTTTTTTAAATTAAACATATTTTTCAGAGTATTTTTTTCCATCTGCGTCTTAAACTCGTTCACCTTCCCTTATTAAAATTCTAATCGGTACTCCTTCTAATTAAAACTCTTCTGCTAATTTATTTCTCATAAACCTTAAATAATTATTTTTTATAAGCATTTTATTATTTACAAAAAGAACAAATGTAGGAGGTCTTGATTTAACCTATGCAAAAAAGCGTATTTTTAAACTTTCTCCTTTTCCATCTGTTGGTAAATTTTATACTTTTTTAAATTTACCTAACCAATCATTTAACATTCCTGTAGAAATTCTCAAATTCCATCTTTCGAAAATCTGAAAAGACGTCTAAAAAATTTTTTCAGCACAATCATCTTCCTTTTCTGCTGAAAAACACATTAAATTAACACCTTTTACTTGACCCAAATTTTTCTCTAATTACTTTTACATAAACCTTACTGCTTTTTTCTTATATTCTTCAGGCACTAAATCCCATTTATTTACACATAAAATCACTGCTTTTCCCTGATCACATACATATTAAACTAAAGAAAGATCCTGTACTTAAAAAGCCCTTAAAGAATCAATCATGCAGACTACTATATGGGAGTTTTTTATTGATTTTATAGTCTATTTTTGACATTTTTTTTCTACGTCGGAAACTTTACTTATTTTTTAGTCAATTCCTGCTGTGTCGATCAATGTTAGCTTTTTCTCTCTATATATATATTCGACTTTTATAGAGTCACGGGTAGTTCCGGATTAGTCATGGGTTATTACACGTTCTTCACCGATTATTTTATTAATTAGAGTTGATTTACCTGCATTAGTTCTTCCTATAAAACAAATATTAATATTTTTTGATGAACTTTCCTCATCTAAATCACTTTCGTCTTCGATTTTGGAATTAATTTAATCAAATTCTTTTTCCCATTCTTCAAGTGAAATTCCTAACTAATTATTTTAGTTTAAATTTTGAATTTCTTATTTTTCTTGATTTTTAATATCATTTAATTTCTACTTTCTTTTTTCTTTTTTTTCTATGTATTTTTTTTTATATTCATCACTTATTTTATTATCGATTTCCCTTAAAAAATCCGGTATATAATTTCCATTTAAAGCCGAAATATAAATTGGTTCTCCTAAACCTAATTTATAAACTTCATTTAAAAAATTAGTTTTTTCAAGTAAATTTTCATCATCGAATTTGTTTGCTACAAAAAGTAAATCCTTTATATCAATTTCTTCTTTTTTCTTCATATTTTTTTTTAACCAAAATCCGATTTCTTCATCTAATTTACTTATTCCGTTCCTTACATCTACCATAAAAACAGCTAAATCACTTAATAATAAAGCTTATAATGTCTAATTCATCATTTTTTCTCTTAGTTCTCCTGTAAATTTATCTTTAGGGATGTCTTCTAAACCTGCAGTGTCTACTACACGTATTGGATAGCCTAAAATGTGCGTTATTTGCTCTTTTCTATCACGAGTTAGTCCTTATGTTTTATCAACTATTGCTTTTGTGTCATCTGTTTGTAAACGGTTGAATAATTGGCTTTTTCCGACATTTGGGGTACCTATTAAAGAGATTGTATATATGTCGTCTTTCTTTTTTATTGTCGAAAATGTATATTTTTAATGGAATTTGTATTATATTGCTTTTTGAAAAAATTTATACATATTTTTTCTGATTCTTTTTATTTTAAGATATTTAATTTAAATGTAATTAATATATTTTTAGTTTTTATTTTAATACATATTTTTTTATTGTTTTTTAGTAGAATATATGTATATAGTAATTTTTTATTTTTTTGTTAAATATTTATCATTTTTTTGTTAAATATATTATAAAATTTAAAATTTTTTAAATAAAATAATTTTATTTTAGTAAATGATAATAAATTATTATTTTCATACTAAAAAAGTGTATATATTAAATTTTCAAGGAAATTATTTGAAATTTAGTTTATTGAATCAGTAAGACGAATTGGAAAAGAGTTTTTTAAACACAAACTTTTTCAATTTATTGAGTTTTTATGATTATATTGATTTCTTGTTTTTTTTTTTATCATATTAAGTATAATTAAAAATTTTTTTTCACTATATATAATCTTCTCTTTAAAATTAAATCATTTAATGTAGCAATAATATTCTGGTTATAAAATATAGTTATTCTTTATATTAACCATCAAAATCTTTCCTAAATATTATAAATAATACTTTTTAATTTTAAATTAATATTTTTTCATAAAGCCGAATTCGGAATTTCGTACAAAAAAAAAGGAAGAACAATAAATCAGCTATTACTATATAAAATTTAGTTAGGATGATAATAATAGTTAAATTAACTACTTTAGAAATAGTATTTTTAGTTTAGTTTAAATAAGAAATCATATATAGTGTTAATAAGTTTAATATTATTTCACATAATTTATTAAATTTAAGATAATATATTGATCTATAATTTTTTATAAATGAATTGTGAATACTATTTCCTTTACCTATAATAATTATATTTACAAAAAAATGTTTTTTTTTTCTTTTTTTCTTTTTTCTTGTTTTTATAATTATAAATAATCTTCTTCCTCATAAAATAAAAATAAAACTTTTAATTTTTTATACGAAGAAAAAAAAATATATCTATAAAAAATAAATAAAACAAAAAAAATGTATTTTCAATTATCTAAAATACTAATTAATACTTCCGCCAATAAATCTGGTCTTTCCAATTATGGATGATGTCCGGCTCCATCTAAAAAATGCATTTTAAAGACTTATTAATTATCTCTACATAATCTATAAGCTCCATCTCTATTCATCCAATCTTCCTTTCCATAAATGAATTAAATATTTTTTAAATTTTAATTATTTTTTAACATTTTTTCACAAGAAATATATGCAATAACTCTTGGAAAAAAGAAAATTTTAAAAACGAATTTTTAAGAAATCGAAAAAGGCATTAAAAAAATGCAATTATAAAGTTCTTCAAATAATTTAAGTTTTAAAAAATCTACTTTTTTTTATAAAAAAAGCCTTTTTTATAAAAAAAAACTAAGCATTTTTTTCCCAATAAAATAGCTTTTTTTATAAAAAAACTCATAAGAAAGTTCGAATTTCCATATAAAAAATCTAAACCAAAATATAATTTTGTTGAAAAAACAGGATTTTTTATATTTTTATTTTGAAAATTCCAAGTTTTCCTATTTTGAAATTTCCGAAAAACCCGCAGGACTTATCAATATTAATTTTTATATTTTTAAAGGATTTTTAGAGGCAAAGGCACATGCTAAATATCCCCCAAATGAATGGCCACACAAATTTATTTTTTTTTTGTCTAAATTAGTATTTTTAAACCACTCTTCTAATACTTTTATATAAAAATCTATTATTTCTTAAGGGCTATAATGTTTTTCAGGCATTTATGGGCGGGAAGATAAACCTAAACCTATTATATCCAATGAATATATGATGTATTTTTCCTTTAAATATTAAAATAATTTAACAAATAATGCACTACAACCACCATATCCGTGTAATAATACTAAAATTGACCGTATTATATTGTCTTTTTTTTATATTTTTATAGTATGTAACCAATCTTTTTAATAAAGATTTATATTTATTGGAATATCTTTAATTTTTACATAGTCTGTCAATTCTATTATATAAATATATATGTATATATATTTAATATATATATAAATATTTGTATTTATATATATTAATTTACAATATTATTAAAATATTTCTTTTTCATATTTTTTAGCATTTTAATATATTTACATTTTTATTTTTTGATTATTATTAAAAATATAAAATTAAAAAAAAATATATATTACATTATATATAAATTTTTATTACATTTATTTATTATTTTGAAAATAGAATTCTTTAGAAAATTATAAAAATTTATTATAATTTATTTATTGTAAAGTATATATATTTTTCTTCAATCTTTTAAAAATATTTAAAATTATTTATAAAAAAAATGTTTTTGTATATTATTATAATTATATATATATTTATTTCAATTTATAATTTTATATTATTATTTATTTTTATTAATCATTTAATAAAACATTTTTTATTTTAAAAATTATTTTAATAATCATTTTATATTATTATATTTGAAATTTTTTTAATATTTTTATGTTAAAAAAATTATGCATTTAATAAATATTTTATAATAATTAAATCAAGAAAACATTTATGTAATTTTTAAATGATATTCAGGTGAATATAAAAGACTTTTTTTGAAATCATTTAAGATTGTTTTCCTTTCTAAATCAGGTCTTTATTCAGAAACTTTAAGTAAAATAACACCTTTCATATAATTAATTAAACAATTAAGATCTGAAGTAAGTTTATCTCTAAACATATCAACTAAAACAAGTAAAGATTATAAAAAATTTTAAAGTTTATTATTTGAAGGGTCCTAAAAAAATAAATATATATTAATTATATTAATATATATTTACATTTAATATAAATATATTTATATATACCTAATAACTTTTATATAATTATATTTATATATACCTAATAACTTTCAAAATAATAATATTAAACTTAAAACAAAACTAATATAAACTATTCATTTTAATTTTATAAAGCTGAAGCATTCAACATATCTATAAAAAGCTTTATTTCTTTCATTTGTTTTTATTTTAATAAAAACTACATATACAAAAACATCATATTAACATTATCTTTATAAAATTCAAAGCACTCATATTTTAATATTTTATATAATTATATTTAATATTCTTTATTATTTTTATTTTTATATATACATATGTCGCTGCATCAACTATCATTTAAAGAACATCCTATTTTTCATATATACTATCTTATTTATAATCTTCCCTTAAAGCTAATATGTATTAATATGCATCAATATGCTATAATATTTGTGCTATCTTCTTTCCTTTTTTAGATTTCTTTATTTTTAATGGTATCAAATCCTATTCTAAACTATTACTTATACATAATCTTAAACTACTCATCAATTATATCATACCTTAATATTTGTTATCATCTAATAATTTTCTAATAATATTCTATATTTATATTTTATATACATATATATATATATATATATTTATTTATAATTTTGTTTACATATGAAAAAATATAGGTATTTGCTTTATTTTCTTATAATTATTATTTTAAATATGGAATTATTTCAGACGATTAATTTTTTTTATAAATTTATAGTTTTTTCATATAATCTGCTAGAAGTATATTTTTTTAAATTTTTTCTTATATAAAAACTTCAAATTAGTCTATTTTTTATTCGCCATTTATGCTTAGTATTTCTATATATATTTCTATGAATAATTTGTTTCTTTTTTTATCATATTTTTCATCTAAATTTAAATTTTTTAACATAAAAAGAAGTCTATTTAAGCTAAATTCATTAAAATTATCAGAGTCTTCGAATAAAAAACAACATAAAAGATAATAAAGATAGCCTTTATTTAAATAAACTGCTGCTTTTTTTACTAATCTGATTTTCTCTTTCAAAGTTTTATTGTCATCATTTAATTTTATTAATAAATTCTTCTCATATTCTGCAAAATCTTCCTTAAAATTATACATAGGAATTCTCTCATACATCACTAGGAAATCAAAATAAGGAGTTTAATATTCCTTATAGGCCGGGTCTTATAAAATAGCATTAAAAAAGTATTTTTTAGCTAAAACATACTCTTTTTTTTTATAAAAATGGATTCCTTTTAAATAATTAAATTCTGAAATTAAATTTATTTCTTATATAAATTCATCAGATAAAGGAAAATACTAAAAGTTTAAATCTTCATAAAATATAGCTTTTAAATTAGTCATTCTAATGATACTTTTTTCTTAGTTTTTTTCGAAAATTTAATACTCAAGATTTGCTATTTCCATATATAATTCCAAAAGTAGCTATTTTTGGGCAATATTTTAAATATGAAAAGGTTTTTCTTGTATTTTTTATGAGATTTCGTTACAAATTTTAATATAAAAGTAATTTCCTTGTTCATTTTTCCCTAAAAATATACTCATAAGTAAATACAATTTAAGACTTTTTAAAAAATAAATAAAATTTTTCTCATTTTATTTAATTTTTGGGATTTCATCTTATATATATTTTTCTAAAAAAACCAAAAAATTATCATCTATATTTTTAGTTGAAAATTCGAAGTTTTAGTAAGGGACTTTCTTTTTTTAACTATTTTTAAATAAAGAAAGCTCATAAATTTTAGTTAAAATAGAATTTTCTAAATGAGGATTTCTGTCATAAAAATCACTAGAAAATAAATAATTTACATGTGTTTTTGTATTTTTGTATTCTAAAAAATCTAAAAGACTATCAAAAACTAATGAAATACCCTTAAATATTAATATACATATATAAATATTTAAATTTATATTTATATTATATTAATATTTACTTGAATTTCATATTATTTAATATAAAATAAATAAGAACCACATTTTTCTAGCATTTATTTGTATTTATCATAATATTTTCTATTGTTAAATTCTTATTTTTTAAACGAAAGTGCAAGCATATATTAAATAATAAATAAACCAACATAAGCATTAATATTTTAAGTATTAATTTCGATAGACTTTAAAAATAAATTAACACTTTCTTATAATTTATCATTTTTTAAATAAATAAAGGCTAATTAATCTAGACCAAAAGAATTCTAAATTTATAAAAATAAATAAAATAAATATCTAAATATGTATTTATATATATATATATATATATATATATTTACCTTTTATATTCTAATTGATTTTATAAAAGCTCCAATTTATTATTTCTCGTCTTTTTAAATGATTCCATAATAATTATAAAAGTCTATATCTTAGTTAAAATTAAGTATGCCAAATTTAATACATTTTAAGCATTTTTGGTAATTTTCTTCATTTTCTTCTAGATTTTCAATATATATATAGCTTACAATAATACTTTTGAGTAAATATTTAAAGACTTCGCTTTTATTTTTTTAAGATATAGAAAAATTTTAATTATTATTCAAAATTTCTTCATCAAATTAAATTCCTTCTTTTTCGAAAGCTTTTTTTTGATAAGAAACTCCTTCTTGAAATAAATCTTTTCTTTTGCTTAAAAAGCCTGCCAAACATAAAAACTCACCTATATTTATGCAATTATAGACATTTAAATCCTTTAATTTAGGCATTTTTTTCAAAAAAATATTAAGAAAATACATTGAATTACTAAAAGTATATTTTTTCCATTAAAACTTGATAAAATTATAATTTATTTCATAAAAAAAACCTAAAAACTACTAAAAAATGTTCACATAACTGTTTTCGTTTTCCTCGAAAACAATTCCCTCTTTAATTAATTTAAGAAAAACTCCCATTCTTAAATATAATTCATGTTCATTATTCATATAAAATGCAATTTATGCATATTCGAAATTAATAATTAATAATTCTACATATTTCCCATCTTCCTTGAAATTATAATTATCCAAAATTATTCTTTTTTCTTATAAATAGACATCTGAAAGTACTTCTAAACATAATTTAACATCTTTTAAATAAATACTATTTTCTTTCTGTTTTAATACTAGTATATTTTTCTAATAAAAAAATGACTTTTCAGCTTCTTTTATAGCTTCTAATGAAGAGCAAGTTTTACCTTATATTTTATCTCTAAAAATTTTAATAAATATAAAATAATTTTTTTTAATTATTTAAAAAATTAAAAATAGAAATATATAAATATAAATAAATAAATAAATATAAAAATATAATATATATATATATATTTATATATATATATATTTATATATATAGATATATTTTTACGCTTATGCTAATGAAATTAATAATTTACATTATACTAAATCATCATATATTACGTATTGACTTATATTTTTTTAAAACTAATACAAAAATGTTTCATTTAGTATAAAAAACTCTTCTAAATAATAAAATTCGTTTATCGCAACTCCAAAAGGTATACCATATTTAAAATTATCTTCTTCATATATTTTTTCGTAATAATTTTTATATTTTTTTTCTTTCTCAAAAAGATAATTTCCAAAGCTTTTTAACAATAAATAGTTGCCTTTAAAAAATCGCCTTTATTGGAATAAAAGACGCCTAAAATCCTATTTATCCAAAAAAATTATTTAAACCCTTAATAAATCCTTTCTAAAAAATCCATACTTTCCTGTACATTCCCTGATATATACATAACCAAAAAATTATTTTATTTAAAAAAACACATCTCTAGTTTATTAAAAAAGCCTTTTTTAAATATAATAAACTATTCTTAATATCATCTTCTTCCCATATAATTAATCCTTTCATAAAAAGACCTTCAAAATCTTTCTTTTTTATACCAATATTTTATTTATATATACTAAAGCTTATTCTTTATCATTTTATATCATATATATACACGAAATTCTTCTCCAACATCTTATTTTATCATTTATATTATCTAGTTTATCCTATATTTGTTATAATTATTATAAAGTTTATTATATATCAGGTTATTATTAATCTATTATTTTATTTTTTTTCAATAAAAATTATTCCTTTTTTTAATTTTCATCTCTTTTTAGATATAATTCTCCTTTTTTTTATGAAAATTAAACCCATATTCTTTCCAAATCCCAAAAACTTCCTTTTTCTTTTTCTAAAATTCCCTAAAAATCAACCGAATCATCCCAAATATGGCAAATTCTATTAATTTTTAGACAAATTTGATATAAAAACTTGCTTTTTCCTTTCTAAGTTTTCCATAAATTCTTTATTTCTTCCAATTCCTCCTCATTTTCGACAATATCTAGTGCATAACTATTATAGACTTCTTAAATAAATCCTATATCTTCTCCTTTTTCCCTCCACATCTTAATATTTTCCTTCCAGGCTTCCAGAATTTTCTTTTTCCCGCCAAATTTCTTCCTATATTGCCCTTATTCAAGTAAGTAGACATAAAAAACACTAAAATTACTTAATTTTTCATCTATATCTGTCTCCTATATAGCATATTCTTCATCTTATTAGACTTCTTAGTTTTAAACTAGGCCCCATTTATCTACAAAATACATAAAGACTTTCAATAAATTGTCTTTTTTTTCTTATTTTTTAGCCCAAAAATATAATTAAGAAACCTGCTTTTTCATCAAATTTTCTTCAATTAAAAAAAAGCTTTAAATTTTTTCCAAAAACACACTTTAAAAAGCCTAGAATTTTCCTAAAATTTCATATAAAAAAAAAATTCTTTCCTCGAAAAATTTCCTTTCTTTTAAAAATTTCAAAAACACAGAAATTTCTTTTTCCAAATCTTCCCCGAAAATAGACTCAGAAATTTTACCAAAAAACACCAGAAAATCTTCTTTTAAAAAAGCTCCATTTTCCCGATAATATCTTAAAAAAATAATACAAATATTTTTCTATATTTATAAATCAAGTTTATCAATTTCATGTATTTAAATTAATATATCAATAGTTTTTTTCGATATTTTTTTCTCATTTTAAACAATGTCTATATAAATTTACATATATTTATTTAAATCAACTTAATTCGAAATCTAAAAAAGCTATTCAAGTATCTCTTTTTATTATAAAATGTCTTATTTTGCCTCAAAACATTAAAATAAAGCTTTATATATGTTTATATCTGTAGTATTTAATTAATTCGCGCTTTAAAATGATATTATAGCTTCATCTATTTGCTTGAGTTCAAATTGGCATTTACCCAAATATAAATATAAGTTATGATTTTATCCTATATAAAATAAATATTTTAATAAAAATAATTAATTTGTTTTACGTTAAAAATTAATGGCAACTTCAAAATCTAATTTTGCATTTTCGTAATTTTTTTCCTTTAAATATTTTATACCTGAGATCATAGATTTTTTTGCTTTTTCTTCTTAATTCATTATATTTTTAATGTATAAAATTTAGGATATTTTTAATAAAAATATTGTATTTTTATTTATTATAAGAATAATTATAAATATATATAAATAAAAGTATATATATATATATATATATATATATATATATATATATATATATATATAAATTATGTAAGGTTTTCAAATTAATTTTAAAATATTTTTAATAAATTAAAAGAATATAAAGTATTACAAATAAAAAAATTTATTTATATATTTATAAAATTAAAATAAACAAGAATATAATATTTTTTTAAAATTATGATTTAAGATTTATTTTAAATGTAAAAATATTTTATTTAAAATAAAAAAAATATTAAATTAATATAGAAGATTAAAATTAATTGTAAATTTTTTTAATTTGTTGTTAAATTTTAAAAAAATTAAATTAAAATTATATT